GAATGTTCTACAACCTTAGCATGTTACGTCATGTTCGAGCTTCGAAGATCAAAAACTGTAGGCTATCTAAAAAACACTGACAGGACTTTCTTTCCAACCTATATATATGTATGAAACGAAAGAGATTCTGAATTATCTGAAAGTAAAAGATGCAAGGTTATAATGCGGGAAGTTTCTATCCTGATAAAACTAGTATGGAAGGGCTTCTCAACTACATCTGCATCTTTTGTCCTGCAGGGTTACATCCGGAGGTAGTCGTTTCAATTCGCTTCACTGCCTGCCTCGACGACAAGTTTTTGTCTTCGTGGTAAAGTTGAACTCCTGCCACGTTTGTGGCACAGCCTTCTTCTGAAATGGCGTCCGGAGCTTTCACGCTCGTTGGTCCGTCAGGAAATTCCCTTGTGACGCCTCTAAAGGGATGTCGCATTAGGCATCACATTCTTCTACTCATTTAACGTCTTCGTCAACGTTTCCACCGCTGGATATCAATATTATGCAGCCTCTGCCCACCCCATCGAAGCCTTTTCGACCTCTCCTTCTTCATCTTTTTGAGCTCCGAATCCGAATAGTGCTGTGCTTCCTACATCCATTCATTCACTCGTAAATAGAAAATGACAGAGTTTTTGTCATCGAATAATCTATTTTTGGTATGTTATAGGCATTCTAGAAGCGCAGCGGAGTACTTAAAGAAAGCCCCCGCGCTCAAGTAGTCCATGGTCGTCCTTCCTTGTGCAGGTAGTTCAGCCCCAAGCTAGATGCTGTCCCACTCTCGCAACTCCACAGTGAGCGAGGAGCGAGCTACAGCCGCTCAAAGTTCTAGTTCTAACGCCCGCTCAGTTGGACCGCCTCACTTGCTAGCTGCCCTCTGACGGAGAGCCGCTCAGTTGTTCTTTGTTGGGACGGCGGGCATTAATCGGAACTGCATGTACTTTTTGCTGACCGCGCTCGTGCCCATGAATAATTCTGCTCTCCTTCATTACATTTTATTCATTGGGAGCACATACAGTCAACTGCAACCCATCTCGTAAGGTCGCGTAAAAATCACGAATGATGCAATTTCTGGTGCAAAAGCTCGACATGCACCAAAAGCTGCACACTGCACGTAACCCCAAATTTGGACGCCAGGTTTTTGAATTTTTCCTTTTTCAAGTGTTTTTCGTTCGTGTCTTTGTTGTTTTTTCATATTCTTTTCTTTGAATTGGATGTTGTCCACTACTGGGAAATGCCATAAAGCGATTTGTGAGCCAGGGGTTGCCCACGGACCGCAGGGCGGTGTAACTGTAAGGGAGCAATTTGTGCTTTTTTCCCTTCATTGAGGAATTACTTATCAGCTACTGTTTCATAATTGATCAGCAATTATCCTTGACACTTTTATCGCGGGAGCTGTCTTTAGGAGCGGAGCGAAGAGTCCAGCAGGTCATAGCATATATGGGCGATGGCCGATATACGCTGACTTGCTGGAGGCAGTAGGTGTACAAGACAGTCATTATTCTCGTTTTCCCCCCCCCCCCCCCGATGGGTCTGTTACCATATCGCCGGCTCAGGAAAGAAAAAAAGGTTTGCCGGGGCGAGAGGAAATCCGAACCTGACCACAAGACCAGACCTATTAAGCGGGCCACTTGTTATAAGGCCACCTCCGGTTATGCGTAGAACGCGCCAAATAATGCAAGATCATTATGATAATTAGGAACAAAGGATCGAAGATACTATTTCATTCTTTAAGTTGAATTTTTTAAAATCTCCTGTCAGTTTTTGTGTTCTTCAAGAGGTTGCTAGGTGGACCTTCCACTCAAAGAGCTAACCTTTCGATTCTTCGACGGGGCCTGACCTGCTTCAAGTTTTGTCTTTCCCCCGAGCGCCTCAACTTCTCTAGCTCTTCCAACGTTATGACAGAAACCTTAAAGAGTATTCCTTGCAATATGAAAAAGGACAGTGTTCGCCGTTGATCAATCCTTTTGTGGGATGCGGCCTGCACTCTACTCCCATTCAGAAACGTAGTAGTTTGTTGAATGCGATGTGGCCTATACAATTTGCGGGGCCAGGATTTACGCGCCAGTATTCTTGTCCTCCTAGACGGCTCCGAGACCAATTTACCATCCCCGGACCGTATGCGTGTTAACCGTGCCACCTGCCACTACACCACCTACGGCTCTAAAACGAGACCCTCATCCAGGTTCCCACCCTCTCCACCTGCACCCCGCGAAAAAAGGAACCACAACCACTTTCCGGCGCTGGTAAGCAACGAATCCTAGTGACTATGATAGTTAGGAAAAACGTTGATTCGTGTAGGCCTGTTGTA